TAAAGTTGCCAACTTTATGGAATCCTTCCAAGTTCCATCCAAACTACCACAACATGAAGAAAAAGGGACAAAGAGCCTAGATCTAGAAGCATACAACATAAAGCTTGGATCATAAACACTTATAATGATCCAAAAATAGATCAAATGGAAACTCCAAGCTTGTCAAGAGGTTCTCTATACCACAAGGGCCTTCTTCTTCCTTCCAAAAGCTCCAAAACATCAAGGGTAAGCTCACAAATAGATAAGAGGGTATTAGCGTTTGCTTCAAGGTTGTAGAGGGTGATGAGGCTGGAAATGATGCCCTAAATATGAGATTAGATGTTTAAATATAGAGGAAACCCTAAAAGATCATGGGCTTGGGTTGTAGTGATCTTCACATAGTGACCATACTCTTGTCACGTTGTGAGAGCCATCCGAAAAGCATTCTCATATTTGGTATGTCACGTCGTTACGGCCTTCATGTCACATTGTGACATGATTTTACTTTAATTTTGGTGTGAAGTAAACGATGATTTGAACACAATGTAAATTATATATTTTCAATATGGTGGTTGTGTTGCTTTGATTACTATTATTCAATTGTTATAATACTGTACATGACGTCATCCACCCCCGAACGTTTCCACCATTTTGGTTTGGGGGTGTGAAAATTACATGCAACAAAACTTAAATAATCTTTAGGCTAAAAGACCCGCCCCTATGATGGTTGGACTTATTTAACCTTTGTAGCATGTAAATTAACGTACTCATTTAATAGTTAACTTACATCAAAATGAGACCTACAAAACACAAATCAAGCAACATTCAAGCAGTAAAACTCTATAGGAGACAAACATAAATAGGCATCATTCCTAATAGGCATTCTAGCATGCAACCCTGAACAAATTCTTATGCTAACTTCTAGCATGTGAAACATTATATAACATATCAACATGTAGGGGTATTCTAGGAATCACTTACTTGAGCTCGGCTGATTGTACACATTGCACTCCTTTCTTTGTAAAAATCTTTTTAGAAAATTCATTTTCTTTGAAAAAAGATTATCAATTCCTCAGTTTGAGTTCAGACACACCTGAAAGTGTGCCCGAATTCCTCAAACCAAGGCTCTGATACCAACTTCTAACGTCCTAAAAATACCAATAAAATTTCATTTTTTGAAACCATCAAATCCATACAAACATTTGTTCCAAAACCAATACCAGTCAAATGTATCATTCCAACATCAGAGTAGAACAATAAAAGCCAGTGCGGAAAAGTCATTAGGGGATGTTGTACAGTTAATTCAGTCTCTTCCTTTTGGAACCGGAAGTACATGAAAATGTTTAAACCCCAAAACTTTAAGCACAAATCTTAGTAAGTTCCCCAAAATACCACATAATTAACATACATAGGATATGGAATACTATGGGCTGAACCATAGTCTTACTGTCACTATCAGCAATGAGCCAAATCATGGTCTTCCCTTTCCACGCTAGTGGCCACACCCTAGTCTTACATACAAGTGCCAAGAGCCACATGTTGATCTTCCATGCAAGCATCACAAAGACAACTAGCATCCTACGTATAACTGTCAGGGCCACACCCTGGTCGTGCATACAATTGCCAGGAGCCACATCCTGGGCTTTCATACAATTGTCAGGGGCCAACCCCTGGTCATTCATACATATTCCAATGGAAACATCATGTTCTTCCATGCAATCATCACAAAGACAACTAACATCCTATGCAGTATAGTAAAAAGACTCACCTTGCCGAGGTAGTCAACAGTTAACAGCTCTCACAAACCAACGAACGGGTGCTATACACCTCCTAATAAATCATACATTGTAAGCCTTTAGTCTACCTTCTAAAACAAGAAATTTAACCGAAATTCAACCTATGCCAAAAGTTAAATGGTCAAAGTCAAAGTCAACAGTTGATTCTCATGTCGTGACCAGCCTATGAGCACGTCGTGGCTAACAAACTCATCCCCGTTTCAAAAGTCCAGTTATGAACAACTCATCCACGATAAAAACCATTGTCGCTTCATGATGGTCATGCCACCACATCATGACATAATCCATCCAAAACAATCGGGAAGTCTCATTGTCACATCGTGACTACTGCAATTTGGGAAAACTTAATGCATTAAGCCCTTAATCCTTTAATCCGTCCATTCCAACTTTCCAGAGGGCCATCTTACTCCAAAAACATTCTAAAAATTAATGTTTTATATGCATGCATGTCCAATGCACGTATTGGTCTCATATTAGGCCAAAAAGATGAAAAATGGATCCAAAATCATATGGGTGTCTTCAAAACTTAGTCAAAATTAAGATCTAACATATACACCCTCAAGGGACCTCAAGGACCCATAAAGTTGCCAACTTTATGGAATCCTTCCAAGTTCCATCCAAACTACCACAACATGAAGAAAAGGGGACAAAGAGCCTAGATCTAGAAGCATACAACATAAAGCTTGGATCATAAACACTTATAATGATCCAAAAATAGATCAAATGGAAACTCCAAGCTTGTCAAGAGGTTCTCTATACCACAAGGGCCTTCTTCTTCCTTCCAAAAGCTCCAAAACATCAAGGGTAAGCTCACAAATAGATAAGAGGGTATTAGCGTTTGCTTCAAGGTTGTAGAGGGTGATGAGGCTGGAAATGATGCCCTAAATATGAGATTAGATGTTTAAATATAGAGGAAACCCTAAAAGATCATGGGCTTGGGTTGTAGTGATCTTCACATAGTGACCATACTCTTGTCACGTTGTGAGAGCCATCCGAAAAGCATTCTCATATTTGGTATGTCACGTCGTTACGGCCTTCATGTCACATTGTGACATGATTTCCTCAAAAATCATGTCTTTGACTCCTCTATGCCATACACCGATCCATTCTAGGAGACGGGTGTTACAGTCTCGAGAATGATCTAAAAGCAAATATGAAAAGTAGAATGGTCTAATAAGAAAGAAAGCTTAAGAGTTAACATGATTCAACAAATTTAGTCTTTTTATGGGTTAACATGGTTTAACAAATTTATTTAAGATGTAACGATCACGATCACCCACATAACATGCATTTCTTCAAAACACACCAATAAATTCATAAATCTCATTGTATACATTGATAACACGACTATAACCAAAGATGTTTTCAATTATAAAAAACTTGTTTTTTTTTAAGTTATCAACTAGTTATTCATTTACCAACTAGCTTTTCAGTTAGTTTGTCAGACATAGCCTTAATATTATCTCATAAGCACATTTATGTCTTTGGTGAATTAACATCCCCACACTTGTTATACATCGTCACAACCTTTAACACTTAAGGTACAAACCTCGTTATTTTACCAATGGAGTAAAATCATGTTATCTTATTTTAGAGGATGTTAGAATATACCCCTTGGCTACAATCGATCTTTGTTTTTAACACTTCCATGAGCTTTGCAGTTAGTTCATAGAACCCACTTCAGCCCTCATAAATTCTTGCCATTAAGAATATGACGCAATGGTTCACATCCCTTTCATTTTGTCACTAAGTTTGATCAACCACTTCTTCATGGCTACCTTTTCAAGGAGAATATTGTAACATACACGTTTTGAAATCGTGTATTGTAAATTATAAAAGAGAATAATATTATGTGAAATTGAGTGTTGAGTTCTAATGGATAATTTTTACTAGAAATGAAGTAAAACTATGTTTAGAATCACTCATAAAATATTGGAAGTCTTATGAGATTCCAATTAAAAGTCAAATAGTGAAATTTAGCGAAAATATAAAATTTTAAATAAGTAAAATTTTATTATTTGATGTTGTAGAGAATCTCGTTAGAAACTTGTAGGCGAAAACCTCATCGAAATCCGAGTTATAACGAAGAAGTTATGACCAACCGAAAATCCGCAACAAAACCATCACGACGCCGAATGACGTAAAAAATGAGTTTTTGATAAACTACTTTTTAGCCTTAGAAATCTAAATGAAATTCGTAGTATTCATTAAACCGAGAAAGTCGATAAAAAGAACGCCAAAATCTGACTTCGTATGACGAAGTTATGATTTTTCGAAGTTTCAACTTAGCAATAGACAGCTAAAATCTGACTTCGTATGTCTCCGTAAGAGAATGACTTCTATTCTATGACATTGGCAGAAGGTTAGATAAGAATGGTATGTAGCATCTGACCATGTAGAGCATGACTCCGTAAGAGAATGAACTCTATTCTATGGTATTGGCAAATGGTTAGACAGTGCTATAAGTTTGGAATCTACCAAAATGTTAATCAGAAATTATATGTTTTCTGTGCCAATTGGGCCAAAGCTTTATTGATGCATATCAAATATTGAAATCGTTATGTCTCATTGAAAAATATATCTTTAAATAAAGTTTTTGATTGATATGAACGCTTGTCACATGATTTCACATGTCTTCTTGTTCCCTTCTGCTTCTGTCATATTGGTATATGTAAAGCAGAAGATTATATTGTATCTATTTATTGAATTCACTAAGTGTTATCGCTTATTCCTCTCAATATTTAACAATTGCAGGTGATGAGTATTCCAATATAGCTTTATACTGCTGAAAGATTTAGAATAGTTAATAGTATTTTTCTGTATTTTTAATGTTCATGTATGTATATGAATAGTAGATTCCTGAGTAGACATGAAATGTAATAAAACTTAATCGGTTTGTATCCAATCCTTTGTAATCACTTTATCAATATAAAATATTGTTTCATAAATATGCATGTAGCATGTTTTGAGAAAGTAACTTAAAAATTCTTTTGAAATAATATGAAAGTTTGGGTCTTTCATAAATACGAAAATTAGGATCTTTCAAATATGCAAAAGTTATGAGGCTAAATCAGATGTCTAACATTCTTTAGGCTGTGATGATAAGCATCACTACATGCATGGTGTGGTTATTGATAAATTGTTCCTTGTGGCAAAGAAATAGTTGTTGATGCCTTGTAATAAGAGGGCATACAACTTAAGAGACAAGGAATATATATAAAATTACTTCACATTCTAAAACCATATTAATAATTAGATAAGAGTTTCATACATTAGAATAAACAACAGTACAATAAAGACTACTACCTCGATACGAAATTGAAAAGAAACAAACAAGTTACAAACATTCGCACAAAATACAACATTCCAGGTAGATAAGATCCTCATTTATAGAAAATAGATTCCAATGACTTTCCATACAACATTGCCAAGAGATGGCATTTCATGTCTTCATCTTTGGGCGACAAATGCTCTTTGGCCAAAAGTGTATTAAGGTGCATGTGATGCATCTTCATGGTCTTCCTTTCCTCCTTTTTTTGCTCCAAGTCGAGTCGTTTTCTCATGACTTCAACTTCATTGTCTCTAGTAACTCTCATTGCACGAAGTTCTACAACAATTTCATTAGGAGACAAAGACGATTTTGACGCCATACATTTTCCTTCCATTTTAGATGCATCTCTACTTGTAGAAGGGTGACTTGTTAAACCACCACTCTTTGGCACTTCCAAGGTGGAGTGTACAGAATGATCCCCCTTTTCACTACTCCTTGATCTTTCCGTGTTGCCACCGCTTTCTTCATCACCCACTCCATGTTCTGAACAAGAAGGTGTTGTCACACGATCCTTCTGTAATCCCACTCTACCTCTAGCATGGTCTTCATTATTTTGCAAGGTTTGGATACTTTCAGAATCTATATGTAATCCCACTTCGCCTCCAGCTTCGCTTTCAGTATTTTGCATGATTCGAACATTTTCACAATCTTTGTGTAATCCCTCTTTTCGTTTAGCATCATTTTCAGTATTTTGCGAGGTTTGGAGATTTTCAGTGATTGGAACTTGATCAAGATTCGTTACAAACTGAGAATTTTCATCACATTCAGGGTTTTGATAATCTTGGGAGTCTTTAGGGTGCTGAGATTTCCTGACAAATGGATAGCTTAGATCCACAGGATAAAGTAAAAAGACTAGAAATGGAATTTTGGGAAAGTAAATGAAGATATACAAGTACTAGACTATTAGGCTCTATTTTTATATGAATTTTGGTGTATTATGTATTTTTAAACTAACAAAAAGTCTGAATTATAAACAAATAGAAAATGGACAGCAATGATTCAGTGTTTTCTTTTCTTTTCCAATTAATTCCCTTTTTGTTTTATTTGTCACTGAGTGGACGAAATTGCTGATAAAAAATAGTCTTAGAAATGGTTTGAACTTACTTGGGGACGAGTTTTTCCAAGTCCATTACAGCTGTCTCCACTGCATAAAGTGCCATTTTCTTCACCTGTAATTAATTAATTAGAAGCATAATGCAGTTTCACCATGTTAATCTAATAACAAATCAATTGGAATTAATAGAAATATTATGAACATAATTGACTTTTATATACAGAAATTAAGATATAAACAGGACCAATAAAGTCACAAAATCATATATCATAGAGGCACGAAATTTATTTAGAATCCAACATTAGATATGTGGCAAAATGGGAGGTGGGGTTCTATAACAGTTTGATATCAAAGACGAGTTGTATCAATATATGAAATATGACTGCAAAAAGAAAATATTAAAAAACAAACTACTATTTTGATGACATATAAGCCCAAATCTTCTGATGGTTTATAAAAGATCCAACATTTGCAAGATATAAAGAAAAGATTGTTTACCTCCAATTTGTCTTCTTTTGCCATATGATTTTGGGGAAGAAGGCGAAAATCTTCTGTCAACCGGATGCATTCACCAATGTTTTCAGGAGAAACAAATTCCAATGCAACTTTTATGCATGACTGCATATAAAAAAAAACATATTCAAGCACTTAATATAAGTTATATAACAGATGAAATTCAGAGACGAGTTTGATAATACAATCACAGTCAGGACTATTTTTCAAAAGGCGACAGTTTCAACTTTCGCAAATATCACATGTATATGTATATGTAACATTTAGAAGCAATTTAGATGCTGAAAGCTTGTTTTGGGAGCATTTTCTCTTATGAAGCATATTGAAAGCATACATCACTCATATGAAGCATTTATGTCAATATTTACGCATACATATAGTGGTTTACCATTGTGAAGAAAGCGAATGCATAATCTGGTTAAAGGTACATGAAGATTTATTTTATTTTCTCGTTTGTTTCTCTATTTAATCTGGAGGGGTAATGTCGATTTATTCCAAATCAGTTGTTTTTCTGTTTTTCATGTGGTAAAGATTCTCTCTGGATTCCATCATCATGAATAATAGCTCTATCAAATTCAGGAATATACTTTCAGCCCTTGTTAGTGAAGATGTTACTTGGGTCTTTCTGACGACAAACAAATCTGAAGTTGGGTCGATCTTCCAGTGTTTTCATCAAAATGGTCCAAAGAATAAATTCGAAATTGCTGATATTCTAACAAAGGCCCTTCCAAAGAATAAATTCGAAAATATGAAGAACAACTTGAGGAGTGTGAAGATTTATGTTATTATTTCATTTGTTTCTTTATTTAATCTGGAGGGGTAATGTCATAATTCTGGGTTTTTTAGGGTTATTAGGACCTGCCCTATTTTTTCCTCTATATTTTTACTTTCAGTTTTGTATTTAGTTTTACAATAATGAATAAAAGATATGTGAAGGTTCTCCCCATCTCTTTCGTGTTCTACAGTAGAGTTACAGGAATTTGATAGTAAAAAAAATACAATTTTTATAAAATAGCAAAATTTAACACAGTAAAAAAGAATCTAAAAAGTAGTAGTAAGTTACTAACCTTTAAATTTCTAACTTGATGAACGCAACCAGCAGGTATAAAGACAGCATCTCCAAGCTTTTGGACAAAACTCCATGCTTCAATTCCTGATCATAACCAAAAAATTTAAGCACAATCAAAGATTTTATAACAGTGAAAGGTGATATATAGAGGCTTGCAAATGCATACTAACCAAACTCTTCTTTGAGTTTCCTTTTATGGTCCATGGTTAAGTAAAATGTTTGATCATGAATTGGGTGGATAACCTGGACCAAAAAGATACAATATTACAGTTTGAGAAGTTGCTATTCAAGAATGTAGAATTTCAACTGAAAGTAAGGATTAATACCTGCTGTGGTGGAAGACAAAAGGAATGTCTGAACTCTTTGAAGTGTTTTTTGAGATATTCCTGGAGTTTAGGAGTATCTTCCCGCCTAAATATGTCCCACAAAGCACCTCCCTCTTTCAGATCATCTTCTTCACTATCAGAAGAGATCACTTTTTTCCTGCCATTCCTTGTATTTTGTTTATTTCCATTTCGTCCCTCGACTTTTTTCATTTTATTTCGTTTATTTCCATCTGGTCCCTCAACTCTTTTCATTGAATCCTTTCTCTTCCTCTTAACCTTTTTATCAATTCCTTCATAACTTTCCTCCTCTAATGTGCATTCATCTGACTCATCACCAATAGCTGTCATAAGACAACAACAAGGATCTGTTTCATGCACACCTTTTGACTTGCTTTTAGCATTAGCAAAACAAACAGATAAAGAGTCTCATGTCTTTCATTTCGATATGGCAATATTTTCTTTAAGCTGTAGATATAACACAATTGTTACCTGGTGTCCCTTGCTCGGAAGCAGCATCTTTCGTGTTATCAGCATAAAGTTCCTTCTGATCCTGAACCTTGTGCAGCTTTTTCAATACATTTATCTTTTTACAATGTTCAGAGTCGAGGGTCACAGTTGCAGTATGAGTCAGCACATTCACCTGCATGTCACCAAAATAAAGATTTATGAACGAAAATACATAAAACCAAAACAGATTAGGTGTGCAAATTAAAAAATGCCATCATCATCATCAACACCAAAAAAAACAACAATATCCAAATCATCAATTAGTAGATGATTTGAATACTCCATTTTGCTTTACTTTTCTAGTTTATGGTTCATATTTCTGTGGGTCCAGGTGTCCACGGAGCACTTCAATTACTGCTTTTCTAATTCTTTTATATCATTTCTATCATATAGATCAATTTTCTTCTCATACAAATTGAAATGGAAACTTCTTTATAACCAAAAGGAAAAAACAAAGTTTTGTTGATGACGCCTAAAGAGCCAAGATTCAATTCCAATGATACTAGATGAAATCAAATACCGATGATCTCGTGTCTCCCGAAAAGCTGTACAGAAAAAACCAAGCAGAAGAATTTGGCATAACCAAAGAGAAAAAGCATACCACATCAGACTTGTGACAATGAAGTTTAGTTACAGAGTCACCACGTCCCAATTCTCGAGAAACACCATAAGCTATATATGTTTTAGGACCCATGTCTGGCTTACAAGATTTTGGAGGCAACTTCACTGCAAGATTAAGGTAGCCATCACATGGATGTGTGTACTCTTTAAAGGGTAAGGAAGTGATAAATTCAGCATAATGACGTGGTAACCGTTCTTCAAATAGACTTGATGGAGGCCAATCTTTCAACTTTAGGATATGTGGCCACCCTTCTTTGTAGTATCGACCTTCTGTATACCAAGTAAAAAACTTTTGAACCTTAACATCAACCTGCATGTTATGAGAAAAATTGATTAGGCATTTAATATCCAAATGTAGTATTAACTTGAACTCAAACAATCTAGCAAAAAAGGCAGCATGACAAATCGACCAAAGTTCTAAAATGTGTTTATGAAAATAAGTTCAATATCAAAGAGAAATAGAGAAGATATTCTCCCAAGCTTGAATGAACAGACAGAAATGATACAAAAAAGTGAATGTAGTACATTAGACAAAAAGTGTCGGATTTTTTATGATGATCGACTCACAAACAACGAATACGGAAAAAAATTGGGTCAAAACATAATGGCCAAAAAACCACTTCCTCCAAATGTGCCTCTATATCCCTAACGAATACCCAAAACAATATATATATATATATATATATATATATATATATATATATATGTTGAAGTCTCCCTCTCTCCATAAAGGGATCTTTTGGAGACACAATCTAAGCTCCACATATATCTTACAAGAGGCACCAATGGTGAAGCAAAAATCACAAAAAAGAAATAACAAAAAGAGCATACTTCACCAACCTCAGACCAATCCAAACAATTAAGAGCAACCACATCCAAGAGCTTATCATGTTTGGCATTTTTCATCTGGTGAAAAGCACGCAACATGACCATGGGTTCCCAGCTCAAACCAAGTGTAGTTTCTAGAACATTGCTGACTATTACTGGCTCCCCTTTTGACCAATGCCATTGAAAATGCTTTAAATCTCCAGGTTTAATGTCTATAGCACGTGGACAATACAAGTAATTATCTCTAGAATCTTCACGAGAAGCAGCTTTTCGTAACTGCTGATAACCAAACGCGCACCATTTCTCAGATATATCCCTCATATCTTCCTCCGGTTTGTGCATCTTTAAGAGCTCTCCTGCTTTCACCAACAAGTTTGAAACAATGTCAAGTGGCTTTATGTGCATCAACTCTAGAATTCCACCACCACAACCACCCATGCTTTCTGGAGGGCAAGGAATTCTACCATCATCCAAAGACTTCCAGTCATGAGTTTGCTTTTTCCTTGGTGCAGCCTTCTCAAGATAACTGACCACATTCCTTGTTTCCATGTTTCCCTTAGGCTCACCATGAGCATGTATGTAATCAGGACCAGGATCATTAAATTCAAAAATAACTTCTTCCTTGTTTCCTTGAAGGTTGTCATCTCGCAATTCCCAGCAACATTGAAGGCAGAGGTCATAATGACAAGAAGGGCAGCTTCTATGCAAGTCAACAATCGAAGTTTTACAGCATGCGCTGCATACATCATGTTACAATCAAAATATGAAGTAATAACGAAACAAAACCCTGGAATACTTGTACAATCATTTAAACGACATACCAGTGCATTCGCTCATGCGATCTCCACTTTGACTTCGTCATCTGTACATCCAGTAAAGAACAGCCTGCCAAAGAAGATACATTTAGAGAAGTAACAAGACATCATATTTCGTACTATTTTACTCAACTTTGAAAGGAAATAAACAACATGCATAATCGTTCACAAAAAATCTACGCACCAATCCTATTAAAAAAAAGTGATTAAAGTGTTATCTAATTCTTTGTTGGCATGCAATAATGCAACAAGAACTATGAGCAAAAAGACACCAACTTCTCAAATTGAGTGCAAGGTCAAAGATTCAAGTTCATGTCATGCCTTTCAAGATCAAATAAAGAAATTAAGTTGAAACAGTGAATAATGCGGGTTAAGGTTAAAAAATTACACCAAAGAAACATGCAAACAAGAAAGAGATTGATGATGAAAATACCTTATTGATTGTATGCTTTACAAGGAAAAGGTACAACACTATATATATATATATATATATAGAGAGAGAGAGAGAGAGAGAGACAGGAAGCCACTTGTTCCCTCTGATTTTGCATAGCTTTAACATCAGCACACAACAGAAGAAGAGAGTTGAGCTCCTCGTATACCTTCTTAATTCTATGACATAGGTAGTGAGTGATTGGTCTCAGTGTTCCCTACGATGAAAGGACTTTATAAAACACTATAGATTTGTGAGATGTTGGTTTGTCCAAAATATAAGAAGTCAAGGTGGTCCATGAGTTCCTTCACATATATATATTCATAGCAACTAACTAGAGAAGAGACACAGAAGAGTCGATATTGATTGTATTGAAAATTTGCAAAAACAAACGAGCATCACTTTGTAACCACAAATCATAACCATCACCTTTAAGGGGATCAAATGTGAGATGATAAGCCATTCCCATGCTTCCAAGATAGATCTAAATAGTCTTGCTCCATTCACAAACTAGAAACAAATAAGAAAAGAGGACCCCACTAAGAGGGTATCCTAATTGGAAAAGTAGAAAAATAGTGCACTTACCCGGTGCCCTAATCGGAAATGATGCATACCTTATTGTCAGGTGCTCAAAACAGAAAACCCCTCAAATCCTGAACCTCACTCTGATACCAAGTAAACAAGAAAGAGATTGAAGGTGAAAATACCTTATTTGACTAACAACACTATACATAAAGACAGGAACCCTAAACATAGGAATATGCCAAAGCTAATACGTACAATATTTACATGCTAACAAATCAATATTTCCTCCTGAAGGCTCAATGTTGAACTCAATTAACTCAAGCCTCTTTAGATAAGAATGAAGCAGTGATAATCATTAGTCAAGAATCATATATGTGGCAATACCACTACAGATTAGCTACAAGCCTACAATGTGAGCATGGGATTGTATCTACCAAGACAGCAAGAACACCAAGATGAACAGTAAAAATACCTTGAATCTTAGACTCTATTGCTTTCTCCTTTATGTGTTCCTCCTTGAGACGCGTCAAAAAAGGAAAAAGCACATGTAGGATATATAAAGAATATCGAACTCTCTGATCATGATCAGGTTTAAAATCAATCTTCAGTTTGACCTAAAGAACACCACCATATTCAGTATTTGTTGGGTATGGGTGAGAAGAACAATAAGTTCCATAACAAAAGATGAGCTGCAGGAACCAACTTTAGGGTGCACATCACGCAAGCAAGAGTTACAGTTGCAATTGTCACTGCAAACAGGACAACAATCGTACAACATCACCTCTGTCATGTTAGGGTACCTACAGAACAGAGTAAACAGAAGAAAATAAGATGAAAAAGCCCAGAAAACAAGCAAATTTCAGCTGAAAAGGAAGAAAATATTTGAACAGCTAATACCATCTTATAATGCAAGGCACACAGTAAAGCTTTGTGGTGCATTTACTGCAGGGAACAGCTATTCCCTTGACGTTCCTTTGACACTGATGGCAAATAATTGATGATACATGAACTAGATTGCCCTGCCAACAAATGGTAGAAGATAAAGAGATCATGTTTAAACAGAATCAGAGACACAAAATGTGTTACATTTTCATCTGGAACCTTGCTCTCTGCATAATGCTTTGGCTTTGGCATTAAACCATCCTTCTTGCCTGAGCTCGAAGCTTTCTGGGATCTTTTATCTTGTTCCTCTCCGCCCGTATTTTCTTTCTTTGGAGCCAATTGCCGGGGTTTCTTCTGCCCTACATCATCATCATAAATGGAAGTCGTATAACTAATACCATCTTCCCTAGTACTTCTTTTGCGCCTCATATACTCTTTTCTGTTCTCTTTGTTGTTTATTACTTTGTCAGTGCCCTTTTCCAGACTACCTCGTGGTTTATTCTTCTTCTCTGGAGGTTTAGTAGCAGTACTGGTGTTCCCGTTGTTCCTTCCAAACTAGTTTTCTGCCTCTCTTCTTCGGAACACTCTCCTTCGCATCTGTTTCAGATTTAGAACACCCATTTTGTTCTATGCCTCCATCATCATCATCTTTTGCTCCTCAACAAGATTCCTTTTCTTCTTAATCGTTGTCGCCATCAATAAACACTAATTCTTGAGACTCATGGAAAAATTAGGATTCTGTGCAGGAGGAAGAGTGTGGAATTAGGGATTTCAAAACTGTTGGGGAATTGCTGTGGATTCAGAAGAGAAATTCCTGCATGTTCCGAGTTTCCTTGGGAAGTGGAAGGAAATGGATTCCCTCCTAATTTCCTTCAGATGGAAGGATTTCGAGAGAAATGTTTGAACTTTTCTTTCATTTCTCTCCGATTTAGAACACACAACACAAATTTCTTTTGCTTTCTTTTCTTTTCTTTTCTTTTCTCTTCTTACTTTCTTTTCTCTTCTTTTTTTTTTCTCTGCTACAACTCGGAAACGGGATGTCTGGAGTCTGGATTGTAAGGGGTGTTTGGATATTAAAAAAATAATAATAATAAACACGTAAGTTTAAATGTTTTGATATAAATTTTTAAAAATCAGCTTATTATGATAGATATAATTTAAATAAACTGATTTTAATAAGAGTTTCTTCCTTGCTTATTGTTTATTCTCACCTTAATAAACAATAAAACTAATAAGTAATAATCTAATTTATCCAAGCACCCCTTACATTTTGTTTTTCTGAATTGGGAAAGGTAGCGGACCAAATGGGTTGCAGCCCATAATAAGAAACGTGTTTGTTTTTTAACATCTGCATATTATTGTAGAGATTAAAAAATTAAAATAAATTGATTTTATAAACTGACAATAGTTTTTTAATACAAAAAATTAATAATGTGTGACATTTTGACAAGAATTTACGATATTTCAAATGTTTTTTACTCCAAAGATGTAACAAGTGTTGTGTCAAACAGATCATGAACATACGTTTTTTACTCCGAAGACTTCTAAAAACAAACAACTGCGATATGAAAAGTATTGCGTGTGTGCTGCGCCGCGCAACAATAAGAGATCCGGAAGATTTTTTTTAAGAAACAAACAGCACCCAAGAGTGAAAATAACTTGGGAGTATCTTCATACTAAAAAAAGTTAATACCTTAAAAACCATTATTCACCTTCGTTTCGATTTTTTTTTCTTCGTTTGTCATTATATTTTAGATAACGTTTCATTTTCGAGCCATTGATCAGTCATCAACAGTTCATGATGACGTGTCGGTTTTGTATTTTTCTCGGTTTGTATTTAGCCCCAACATTTACGTATAATTTTGCATTTAGCCCCAATATTTTTTTTTGTTCCCTATTTGCCATTGTTTTTTAGAAAAACTTTCATTTTAGCAATTGGCCAGTCATTAATATGTATTTTCATTTCGTTGGTTTCTCAACAAATATGTCATTAAAAATATTTGGTTTCCTAACAAATATGTCATTATAAATAATCAATTGTTTTTTGGATGAGTTACAAACGAATTAAAAATTTTAGATTTAGCATGACATGTTGTTTATTAGATGTAACAGACTCAAGACGTACACTAGGTCTTTTTTCTTCATTTTAAAATACATGTGTACAGTAAATTAAATACAACAAACACTGATAATACAAAAAATAATAATAATAATAACCATTAACTTACCTGCTAACACACCTCATCCCTTAAAGAGAAGACACGTTTTCGACTCTTTAGAAATATATGGTTTGTAACGCCCCGATTCTCAAGTTTTGTTTAAATAAGATTTATTGGGTTAAGTTCTGCTCGATGATTTGGTTGCCCTACTCGTCAAGTAGCAGCGGGGTGGGATCGCGTGTTAAGTGACCTACTCGACGAGTCCATATTGAGACTCGGTAAGTAGAAGCTGGTAGATGAAACCCTAAATCCCAGGGTTTGCACCCCTATTTAAAGGAGCCTCATCCTCTTTTGGCCTCTTTGTAGTCTTTAAGAGCTCCTTAAAACCCTAATTCGTGTGGTATTCCATGTTGGTGTGTCTTAAGCTTGGAAAGAAGGTTGGCTAGAAGAGAAAAGCTAGAAGTGCAAAGGAATTGAAGCAAGGAAGTTGTGGGAAGCATAAATTTACCTCATCTAGCATCCCTTGGAGGTATCAAGTTGCCATCCTTACTTCCCTTTTCCTTTTGTTGAGTTTTTTTTTTTTTTTTTTTTTTGGGGGGGGGGGGGGGGGGGGTTATGGATTTTGAGGTTGATAAGGTGGGATATGGGCTAGATCCGAAGTTATAACTTCAGATCTGGACCCTCCTTAAGTTTTAGAATCATAAAGTTTTTGTATTGGTCGTGAATGAGGCCCTCCTTAGGCATGAGACCCCATTAAGAGCTTAGATTTGGCATTTAGAGCCTTTGTAGCTATGCATGCACGTAAAGTTTGCAACTTTACGTGAAAAGCATGCCCTAGAAGCTTGGATTTGTGATTTGGAGTCGCTGCATGGCTCAAAATAGGTCTGTATGGAAAAAAGGATTGAATGGACTCGGCGAATCACAAGGTTGACTCAGTGAGTTACATGAAGATGGCAGTGAACTCGACGAGTTGGAGGAACAACTCAGCGAGTCCGATGATGATTGCCATAGACTCGGCGAGTCGGATGAGTTTTCTCCAAGATATGCATGCGTGTGTATCCGTCAAGTTGCAAGGAGGAAACTCGACGGGTAGCCTTAAAGTGTCACACCCCCAAACCAGAATGGCGGAAACATTCGGGGGTGGATGACTTCACGTAGTACCATAACAATTGAATATCATAAAGAAAGTAACACAACCATCATATATATAATAAAAACGTACATTGTTGTGTTATACATGTTTCCAAAAGAATATTACAATAAGATGGTTTAAAATGTTTGATAATAAATTCCATAGCGTTCCTTATTCAAAAGCTGGAAGTTACCTGTATTACCGATTCCTTGAGAAATACAAGTGGTTTCGAAAAAGTGTCAATAATAAAGTTGGTGAGTTCATAAGAGTTTTTGGATTGAAAGTATGTCATTTTGGAAGAAAGTAGATGATTGTAGTTTCTAGAAAATCCAATATTTTTCACATATAGTTTGAAAAGTTCCCAAAGTTGGAGGGCGTTAGTATCTTTCGTACTTAAATGATAAAGATAAATCTTGTGCTCAAAATTAAGTAAATACTGAATGCATTTATGATTCTCATAAATCAAGTTTGTTTTTATACTTTCGTGTGAGTTTTATAACCATACTATCGACACAGACTGCTTGTAACAACATTCTTCAGGTGTTGTAGTGTTATGACATTTGTCACCCCAGACCTATCGGTCTAACTGTAGCTAACAGTTTAGGTGCGGGGTTGTCAATCCCGTATAGATCCATACACAAGTATCACTCTCTCCCTCCAATAGATTATGGTTTATAATACAGGACTTGAAATGCATACTAGAAAGTACGTTGAAGCTGAATATCTCACATCACTTAGTGTAAACAGATTCACGATAAGAAAGTCTTTGTTTTACTTTAGATGAAAGTATTTCGTTTTTAAATATGTATACGTAAGAATGTATGAATAACTCGCAAACTATACCCATTATAGTTTTTCAGAAAGTATGTTCCATTTGATGAAAATAACTTGGTAAAATACTAAACTTTATATGTAAAGCAGGATAGATGTTGTATTTATAACAATACATATTCTTGTATTGTACTTGTATCCCCCCCCCCCCTTAAAACATGAAAAGACTTGAAAAGTATGGGTATGAACTCACTTGTTCGGTTTGAAGAGAGTGGGGCTAGAGTCGGGTAGAACTTCGACTGCGAAAAGTTGCGTCTTCGAGCTTCTCGGGGATCTCGGTAGCGTAGAACCTTCGTCGGGGGCTCGAGTGTGGAATCGAGGGCGTCGGGATGGTCTTTGGTGCTTACAAGTGTGTGAGAGTGAGTGAGGGTTTGAGAAAAGGTGTCCAAAATCCGAAGTCCATGCTTTCTATTTATAGGGCTGAGGGTGCGAGTACGCTGGGCGTACGCGTTACGCTGGGCGTACTTCAGTTATGTTGGGCATAACTTTGCGTCATGGCTTATGACTCGGGTCTAGCTAGGCATAAAGCTTGCAGCCGATGGGACTCGACCTTACACCTGAGTACGCTGGGCGTACCCTTGAATTACGTTGGGCGTAATTCTGGCTTCCATCTTCTAAATTCCGTAACTTTCGCGTACGGGCTCCGTTTTTCGTGTTCTTTATATCCACGCGTATGTGAGATTATGCTCTACAACTTTCATTTAGACTTTGTTAGCTAGTTTTGACTTTATTTTTAATGCTATGTTTTTAATAGGCTGGGGACTGCTAAAGTCGGTTAAAAATGCATAACTTCCTTATCCGACGTCTGTTTTTGTTTGTCTTTTTATCATCTTACTCCTATTGTGGAGACCTTCAACTCTCGTTTAGGTTGCGTTAGCTAAATATCGTTCGATCTTCGATTCGAGTTTTTAGCTCTCTACTACTGTTACGAAACTTTGAAAATTCATAACTTCTTCATACGAGGTCCAATTTGGGCGATCTTTTTATGCACGTTCACCGTTTAACGAAATCTACGACTTTTGTTTAGATACTTAAGGCTAAAATGTATTTTATTGAAATTTCTCTTTTTACGTTAAATAATGTTTTATCGGGTGTGTCGTGAATATTTGAGTAGTCGTAATCTTTTCATTTTAACTCGGTTTTGAATGTTCTTTATGTTTCTGGAATCCTTGGCACGGTATCTATCATTTGATGCATCCGAACTTTAGATTTTGAACACTTTATTTTTGAGGTTAATTATGTTGATTCCAAATAGTTTCATTGTATTAGACTTTTGAGTGTTACATTGCTTTGGAAAAATATAGGGTTGTCACATCATCCCCCCGTTAGAGGGAATTTCGTCCCGAAATTTAATCTAAGATAGAGTTTACGGGTTAGGAAAAAGATGCGGGTACTTTTGTTTCATCTGATCCTCGCGTTCCCAGGTGTATTCAGGTCCCCGCTTGGCGTTCCAGCGGACCTTCACAATAGGTATGCGGCTTTGTTTGGTTCTTTTAATTTCCCGATCCATGATCTCTACTGGTTCTTCTATTAATTGGAGGTTTTCATTTATTGCAATTTCGTCCAAAGGGACGACGAGGGTCTCATCGGACAAGCACTTCTTTAGGTTTGACACGTGGAAGGTAGGGTGTACGTTGTGGAGTTCCTGAGGTAATCGAAGTTTGTAAGCCACCGGACCGATCCTAGCAAGGATCTCGAATGGTCCTATGTACCTTGGGTCCAGTTTCCCACGCTTTCCAAAACGTATTAATCCTTTCCAGGGCGAGACTTTTAGTAGGACACGGTCTCCAACCTAGAATTCCAAGGGTTTCCATCTTTTATCCGCATAACTCTTTTGTCTGTCCCTTGACGCCTTCAGTCGTTCCCGGATCTGAACAATCTTCTCCGTGGT